GTAAATCAAAAAAAGGCTTACTGTTATTTAAAACCTACAAAATCTTCATTGCTTTCACTGTAATTCATTTTTTTTTTATTATTATTTAGGGAGCATTATAAATAGTTACGTTTTTAAAAGAAAAAACTACTATTGTTATAAATAACACATTCAATTGAACTAAACTATGCATGCCTATTTAAATATATTTACACATGGCTTATGTATATCGTATATCATTCATACCTTCGGTGTATAGGACGCAAGCAGATTTTTACATCAAATTTTGGGGTTAAAAGTGCGTCTTATACCCCGAAAAATACGGTAAAATATCCGTTCAATTCTCCATGCGAAATGGATAAATAATTTCAATAGAATTTCTATATTTCAAAAAAACCATTACAGGCTTTACCTATGATATGTATCAAGAAACTAAATGATATACATTTTTAATTATACTGGCTGTTATGGGGAGTGAACGTGGCATATAGCAGTAAGGGGTAATAAAGATGCATATTAAAAAAAAAGCCTAATGGAAGATTTGTGAACGGTTTTATCAAGCTTCATCCACCTTTTTTGAAATGCATTTGAGGACGATCTTTCGATTGCTTCATCGTGATCCGATGACGATCGTTTTCTCGAAAATCTGACCATTATCTCTCACCTTTCGGCAATTTTTGAATCTTCTGTGTTTTTAAAACTAGCCTAATGTATATTCTTTGTAATAAATTTAAAAAGTACGATGATAGATACTATAGATACTAATTCAACGTCCAGTACACTTAAGGATAAACTTTATTTCCACTTTTAACGTTTAAACAAGCTTGAACACTTTTACATTGCCATAACTTGTTGTAAGCCTATTTTACAAATGACGTTAACTAACATAAAACAAATAGAATACAAAGTAACTCGATAAGCGCGATAGCAAATACAGATCCGAGTACTTCATGACAATACAATGACTTATTCAATTCTCTGTCTTAAATTAACTCCACATACTTCACAACTATCTAGTATTTATAATCTCGTTTCTAATGTGCGAGAAAATTACAATTTCATTTGTGCTTTTTGAATATGTCTCTCACACACACAGATGCAGCAGCCGTGCTTCCTCGAGTGATTTATCTTGATCGGGAAGGATCAGGTGCTATGTAGACCTCTTCCTTCTAAACTTCAGATGAGTCTGAGTCTTGTGGTGTGCAAATTTCCCCTCTAAAATGTGCTTATTGGCTAATTTCGAGAATAAAAGGATTTTTCATAATGCGTTTAAGTATATATACAATTTATTGTTCATTATTTGGTAAATGTTTCTTTAAAAAGAAAGAAAATAGTACTTTACAGATATATTTAAAACCTTTTGTAACAACTGCTATATTGAACGTTGTAATGTAAAACTCATTCCACTGTATGATAAAATCATTTTATTCTCTTGAGAAGCATATAGAGCACAATTTGAGCTCCTGGCAGAAATGAAGGGATGGACAGAGGAGCAGAAAGCAGTGAACTTGGCAACGAGCCTGAAAGGACAACCACTGGAAATACTTGGACAGTTGACAGCAGCCGACAGACACAACTATAGAGCACTGGTAGCGGCTCTCGAACTCAGGTATGGAACTCAAAATCAGTCTGAAGTCTACAGGGCTAGGTTTAGGACAAGAGTCCGTGCTAAAGGGGAGAGCCTACAAGAGCTGGCACAGGACTTGGAAAGTATGGCACACAAGGCCTACCCAACTGCACCACCCAATCTCCTCAAGTTGTTGCTGAGGGATCAGTTTGTATATGCCTTGGTACA